GGGAAGACCTGCAGAAATTGGTCCACGAGTGGAGAAGCAGCATGAGGAGATGGCAAAAGGCCATTTAGATCTCTTCATGGTTATTCTGAGACAGGATATATCTTAACCAAATAACCCACAAACACCTGTATGGAGTAGACATGGTATGCTAGGTGTGGAGAGAGCACCCTTCCTATTTGTCCACATGACTACTGCCCATCAGGAAAACAAACAGGCTCCAGCATCAGCCATGTCTTAGCAGAAGGGCAAGGAAGAGTTTTCCTCTAAGGGATTAGGGTGCTGGCACTTCTGTTCAACTTGGGCCAGCATTCCTAGGGGTTCTTCATTTACACAGAGGATGGCTGTTTGAAGAAACACTGCTTAAGTGGAGGTTGGGCATTACGTGTCACACTGCCCATGGGGTCTCAGAATGCCTAACAAAAAGGAATGCATATATGTAGTTGGTGGTGTGAACTTAACTGACTGTGAGTAGAGTCCGGGAGAGGTAATGAGCTGACTTCCATTCAGATTTAGAAAGAAAAATGTCCCAAGACACCATTTGTAGGTGGGAAGGAGGTTGGGAGATATGTAAAGGAGAACTCAGAAAACTGCAGACAGCACATTCCAGAAAGGAAATGGCCTTAAGGTGACACAAGGGAGATTTAGATTCGATATTGGAAAAAAAGCATTCAAAAGAATTCATTGTTAGGGTGATCAGACATTGGACTAGGCTGCCCAGGGAAGTGGTGAAGTCACCACCCCAGAAGCATTCCAGAGGCATCTGAATCTGGAGCTGGGTGGTGTGGTTTAGTGGTTTATGAATTACAGTGGTACTGCTGGGTGTGGACGGTCGAACTGGGTGATCTTGAACGCCTCTTCCAACCTTGATGGTTCTATGACTCTTTGATTCTTCAATCCTATGATATATATATATATATATATAATTAAGCTATTAGAGAGCATCCGAAGGAGGGCAACAAAGATAGGGAAGGTCCTGGAGGGAAAGCTGTGTGAGGACACTGAGGGCACTTGGTGTGTTCAGCTGGAGGAAACTGCGGGGAGACCTCACTGCAGTTCCACCTTCCTGGGCAGGGGCAGAGGAGGGGCAGGGACTGAGCTCTGCTCTGGGGGGACCAGGGACAACAGCCAGTGAATGGCTGGAGCTGTGTCAGGGCAGGCTCAGGTTGGATCTCAGCCAAAGGTTCTTCCCCCAGAGGCTGGTTGGGCACTGCCCAGGCTCCCCAGGGCAGTGGGCACAGCCCCAAGGCTGCCAGAGCTCCAGGAGGGTTTGGCTGATCCTCTGGGGCACAGGGTGTGACTCTTGGGGATGGTTCTGTGCAGGGTTCAAACTCAGCATATTCTAGGATTCTGTGATCCTGTATTCCAGATATATATGCATATACATGCAGCATAACTGACAACCATTGGAAACCTGCACTTCTTGCACTTTTATCTCTGTTCATGCTGGAAATGCTTGAGTTCAGTGCTGAGCAAATGCCATCTCTGTTACTGGAGAGAAGTTTACATATACCTTTATTTTTTTCACTGAAGAAGTGCCATATAAAAGCACCCATGAGAGACATCATCCCATTTACCCTGTGGGTAGGAAATAAGGGAGGGAGGGAGGAAGGAAAGAAAGAAGGAAGGAAGGAAGGAAAGAAGGGAAGGAAGGGAAAGAAGGGAAAGAAGGGAAAGAAGGGAAAGAAGGGAAAGAAGGGAAAGAAGGGAAAGAAGGGAAAGAAGGAAGGAAGAAGGAATTGTTGATGCTTTGATGACACACTACATCCCAACTCTGTTGTAGTTGCCAATCCAGCATCCAGTGCTCTCTGTCAAGTCCATCTTATTACACAGTAGTCTGGAGCTAGATTTGCCATGTCATGTGGTCCACTGCTGGTTCACTGATGTACTGATCCCTACAGGTATGCTCTGCTAATCCTGTCAGCATGTCTGTCAGGAACACCAGCATCCTGAAAATCCCACAGGAACTGCTATTTCAATGTCATCTTTGCTCGCTTTCAATAATCTTCCTGATTATTACTTGATTAGTTACAGTCATCTTTCAAGGAACATTTTGTTCCACCACACCAAGCACAGCCCACACAGCTGTAATTGCTTTATGTTGACTTCCACTGCATGTACCTGGGGATTGAGGTATCAATGCAGAGCTCTTAGAATGCAGAGGCCAACTTCCATGCTGAGCACAGAAATTCCTGATAGAGCTGCATTGCAACTGCAGTTTCTTTTTCCCAGGGTAGACAGCACATACCTTTGTGCTGTGGAGTTGTATCTGCTGCTAGCATTTGACCAGAGAAGCATTCTGCCAAAGGACAACCTCCTCCACACCTTCCAGGTACGTGCAGGATTAGGTGGGACAGTGTGTTGTGTGCTACAGCTCTTCTGCACCCTGAACAGTCCAGCAACCTTTGCACCTTTCTTTCTGGAACCTTCCATCTGCAGTTTTCTGGGTTCTCCTTTACAGATCTCCTGGCCTCCTTCCTGCCTAAAAAACCATTCTGTGATTCTGTTTTATGGTTCTATATGTTTTAGGACTGAGTGAACCCTCAGGAAGTTTGCAGACAACACCAAGCTAAATGATTGAGCTGATAAACAGTGGGAAGGGATGTCATCCAGAAAGACTTTGACAGGCTTAAAGAGTTGAGACCTCACCTATAGTGTTGTATTCAGCTCTGGGATCCCCAGCAAAGGAAGGACATGGACCAGGTTGAGCAGATGCAGAGCAGAGCCACAAAAAAAGATCCGAGGCCTGGAATGCCTCTCCTATGAAGAAAGGCTTAGTGAGTTGGACCTGCTAAGCCTGGAGATGAGAAGGCTCTGAAGAGACCATATAGCAGCTTTCAATATATAAAGGCAGCCTATAAGATGGTGAAAGACTTCTTCCAAGGCCTGTGGCAATATGACAAGCGGAGAAGGTTTTGCATTGAAAAGGGTAGATTCTGGTTAAATATAAGAGTGACATTTGTTAAGACAAGGCCAGTGAGACACTGGAACAGACTGGCCCCAGATTACAGGAATGCCTCATCATTGGAAGTGTGCAAGCTCAAGCTGAATGGGGCTTTGAGCAACCTCATCTAGTCAGAGATATCCCTGCCCAGCAGCAGGCTTGCACTAGATTATTCTTTTAAGGTCCCTTCCAACCCAAACCATTCTGTGCTGCTGTTCTCTGAGTTCTGTATGTCCAAGGCAGTCTGAGAGACAGTCAGTCCATTGCCCAGAGAGACAGGGCTTCTGATGTGCCCCTGCACTCACTGTTTTACACAGGTTGTTTCTGGCCTCCTCCTGGGCAGGACAAAGGGTGTTTCCATCAGCACAAGGAGCCCACAGGTGAGCTCTGGGTTTGAACTTCAAAGAAGTGTGTGCTTCTCCTTGGAACAAGCTGTTCATGCCCAGGCCACTGCTTGGTGTTGGATCTCCTTGGATCACAGGCACCATTTGTTCTGACCTTGCCCCTGTGCTCTTCCCTGAGCTTTATCCTCTGAGCTCTTTTAGCAGTCAAAATGCCAATGACCAGGAGAAGAGTGTGTTTAGAGATGACACTGTTTAAAGCAGCTCAAGTGACAGTACCCTTTTTCCTAGAACTTGGTCAATCACTCTCCAGAACTACTGGCAAATTCCCTCTTTCTCAGAGTACAGCATTGTACAGGACCTGCCTGTAGCTCTCCTGCTCCAGTATAGGCAGTATGGTGTTGAGAGCTCTTGTTGCTGGAACTGTGTGAATGTGGCAGAGGGCAAGATCTTTGTAATGGGATGGGAGTGGTGGACTGAGGGTGGATCAGAGTGTAGAGGATCTCAGATTGTGTGCTGTGTGTGATTGTGGGTAGAGCTGGTTTTGGCTGCAAGGGTTGGGTATTCTTGGAGTTGTAGGTAGTGAAGGGCTGACTTGGTTGAGGGCATTGCTTGGTATATGTTGAAAATGGGCACATGAATATTGGCTCATTAAAGGTTTAAGCCCTTTAAGGCATGTTAGCACTTCATGTTTGTGTGAGAGGAAATGGGAATTATCATGGTATATTTATTGAGTATACATCTCAAAGGTATTTCCTGGTCTAGGTTACTTTTGCCTCTTTGTGTCTCTTAAGCCTTAGAGTATCTTCAATAAAGTTTGAGAAACAGAAATAATTTTTTATATGAATAATTTCCCTGTTAATAAAAGTGCTAGTCATCAAATGTTACACATTTCTTCTGTATCAGCTCTGTAATGAAGCATCAACTTTTCACAACACAAAATTACTTGCAAAAAAGCAATAGCATTTTATATTTTGCATGTATGAGACGGTATGAACAATTTGTTTGTTTGAAACTAGGAAGATTTTTCTCATATATCACGTATGACTGACTACTGTCATCGTAGTGAACATTCCTCTAGTATGCACATTTTGAATTTTTTAATTTCTTCAGTGAAGTTTTAAAATAAAGTGCAGATTTATTCACATAGATATTTAATTGCACTTATATCTAAGGAGTCACCTTTCACACTCTAAGCACAAACTGTCTGTTGCATTCCTCTGTATCTGATATTGCGGCCAGAATCTTGGCCCACACTATATCTGGTTTTCTCCATTTCAATATAATATATAATGAATTACTGAAGGAGATTGAATCATGATTTGTCTTTCGTAGAACTTCCCTTTCTAATGTTGTAAAGGCAACCCTAAATTCATAGGAGCATGAGTACAAGATATGTTATATTATTTCGCTTTTACATCTGGAATAGTAATAGTACAGAAATGCCAAAGAATCTCATCTGGATCAAAGATTAAGTTACCTATAGAGGCAGTAGAAGAAGCAATAAATCCTACATCCAAGTTCTTTAAGTGCCTTGACTAGTCCAGACCCCAATATTAATAGCCCTGTCAGACTATTTATAGGAAATGTATCCACAGGAATGGTAAGATGCAAAACATTTCTAAATATATCAGGTCAAATCAAATGACAATTATGCCATTAGTTAAGTTTGCCAGACAATATTTTGCCAAAGATGGTTTGCCAAAATATATTTTGACAGAAGGAAAAGGAAACATCCGAAGCATCTGCATGCCAGAGTCTATAAAAGACTCTTTGGAGTGCTGTGCCCAGTCTTGACAGAAAATTTCAAGGTAAGTGTATGGCTCCTGTGAACTTCCGGGCTAAACATACATTTTTATTCCATTTACCTTCCTATAAGAGTTGGATATCCATTTCTATCATGCACTGTCTCTATCACCAGTAATTTTATTGTAGGTTTGAAGGCAGCATGTTTTCCTTCAACTTCTGTGTTACTTCTGGGTATCTCTGCAACACAAAATGAGTTGTTATGTTTTCAAACAGCAGTGACTGACTTTCACCTCTACCACCAGAATTAATACCAAAATTTAGCAACTTTTAAGGAACAGGATGAAATCCAAGAGTTTAAAATTTCTGCAATGGAGAACAGGCACTAGTGACGTTTGTATCTGTGATAATGCAAGATGAATTGTCCATAGCAAGTAAATTTTAAAAAGCCACTCTTTGCTATCAGACAAGGAATTATTTCAGACACTTTCAGTAGCATTTAAAAAAAAAACAAACAACAAAACAGACATTTAGTATGAAGTGTCTGTTATGGAAACATACAAATTTGCTAGAGTTTGCAAAGTTGGGATAATGCTGCTAAATTTCACAACATACTGCACGCCAAACTGCTGGTTTGGATTTTGTTGCTTGGGTAGATGCCTAAGGACTAATTTTGGAGAAGTATAGAAGTGCTTTCAGCCAAGACTGGGAAGTTTAAATACAACTTTTGACTTGTTAATACTTACTTCAATATTTGAAGAGATGAATGTGCGAGATCTCCTCTCTTCCACATAAAGCAGTTCACTCCCTGATACAACATATCTTCTTTCCTACAAGGACCCTGCTGACAGTGCCTGCTGTCAAAGTGCAGCGATGTCGGCTCCAGACGCGGACATGGCCGCCTTTGGGGAGGCGGCTCCTTACCTCCGAAAATCGGAGAAGGAGAGAATCGAGGCCCAGAACAAGCCTTTCGATGCCAAGACATCCGTCTTTGTGGTACATGCAAAGGAATCCTATGTGAAAGGGAAAATTGAGAGTAAGGATGCAGGCAAGGTCACTGTCAAGACTGAAGGGGGAGAGGTGAGTAAATGTAAGATTTACAAACAGCATTTCATTCCCACTCTGGCTCTGAGCTGACATGCTTGTCCCTTCCTGCCCTCTGACAGACCCTGACCGTGAAGGAAGATCAAATCTTCTCCATGAACCCTCCCAAGTACGACAAAATCGAGGACATGGCCATGATGACCCACCTCCACGAACCCGCTGTGCTGTACAACCTCAAAGAGCGTTACGCAGCCTGGATGATCTACGTAAGTGGCAGCAGCAGCTTCCTTTGGGCAGCTGGAGGAACTGCTCTGCCAGGCCCAGGGGAAACCAATGTGCTGTGTCCCTTCCTCACAGACCTACTCGGGTCTCTTCTGCGTCACTGTCAACCCCTACAAGTGGCTGCCCGTGTACAACCCGGAGGTGGTGTTGGCCTACCGAGGCAAGAAGCGCCAGGAGGCCCCTCCACACATCTTCTCCATCTCTGACAATGCCTATCAGTTCATGCTGACTGGTGAGTTACTCGGTTTTCTTTAAAATTACTTGGCTGTGAACACTTTCAGAGGTGAAAAGAAACCTTTTCACTGCAAAGTAGTTCAATTTAATGGTGCTGTGAGGGTGATGTTCTCTCATCACTGGAAATAGTTTCTTTACTGAAAACTGTCATTTAGATCATGTTTATAACAGTCAATGTTAGAATTTAATGTTCAAGATATTTGGGAGGATATGATTTAGCACTGGATACATTGTCAGACTTTCCTTCAAAGAAATTTGGATATACTTTTGAAGTTCTGCTTTTTCTCTGAGATGAAAGAATTGTTCTTTGAATGAACTTAATTGTTTTTTGAAGTCACTAGAGTGGAGTTTCTAAATCACATTGTGTGTAAGGGGAAACAACATTCAACTTTGGCTTTACGAAAACTTGGGAAGCAGTCTCAGTCAGATTTTGCAGTGAAACCAGCTTGGAATATTGATACTTCCTCCCTCAGAAACAATTTCTTCCTTTTCATTCATTAAAATAAATGGAAGCAACACCAAAGAAGGGTAGTGACAACTTTTCTAGCATTGCCTAAATCTCCAGAATTTTAAGAAAGAGTAGATGAGTCATAAAAATATATACCAGAAAGATACATATTTTAAATTTTTAAAATAAATCATCTTCCCTCTTCTAACTCCAATTAGTGTATTTAATCCTATAGTATTCAGAGAATTAGAAGATTAATTGGTAGGGAATAGAATGGGAAGAGAACAACAATAAATTGATGTTTGATTCGTGTGTGTTATCATAGCCGTGTTTATGTAAATCATCTTGCTGACACCTTCAAGAGGAAGAAACTTTGTGTGTGCAAACCCAGACTTTTTCACAAGAGTTAGTTCCTTAATGCTTTAGTCTCTTCAGACATTGTGCAGATGTTTTCAGGTTTCATAGTGCAAACTCCAATGGGAGAATGGATTAAAAAAGCAACTAGACAAAATTCTGGAAGGTAAACTCAGCCCAAGCTACTGCACACACAAACATCAAATTGAGCTCAGAAATTTCAATCTCTAGAGCATAGGAGACTGTTCTGGTAAACGTTACTACATGTCTATGAAGTTTCTGTGATTTTCTTTAGGCAACAATCAACTGGCTACTGACATAAAAAACATTTAGGGGGCTTACGGACTGATCGGGAGTACTTGTTGCTTGTGTTGTAAAGCTTATGAGAAACACATGACCCAGTACACCTCAGCTGACTGATAGATCATTTAATCAGCAATTCTACAAAACTGCTCCTTTGTTGAAATCATTTTCATAAAGAAAATGAGCAGGTTGACATGAAGAGAATATCCAGAAAAAGAAGCACATTTGCTACACCTGCCAAGCATATCAGGGCTGACATATCAGCTTCCCAGCTGCAGCTGGGAACATTAAAATGTTAAAAAAGAAGTAGGAGTGAAGATAGGCATGCTTATGAAAGGAATTAGCTGCCTAATGCCAGTGCAACTTCTAAAAGTTACAGGAATATTTTTATCAAGGATATTCATGACACTTTTGTAATCATTTTTCTGTCTCTTCCCCAGATCGGGAGAACCAGTCCATCCTGATCACGTACGTACACCCCCTGCTCGGGTCCCTGAGGGGCTGCCCAGGGCCAGGGCCCCTCCTGCCTGACCACATGATCTCTGCTTCTCTCCTTGCTCTGACAGCGGAGAATCCGGTGCCGGGAAGACTGTGAACACAAAGCGTGTCATCCAGTACTTTGCAACAATTGCAGCCAGCGGGGACAAGAAGAAGGAGGAGCAGACATCAGGCAAAATGCAGGTGAGTCAGGAAGAACAGACTGGACACTTGGGCTGTCATTGCCCTGTTGATTCAACACACTCGGTGAATAATTTTCCCTCTGCAGGGGACGCTTGAGGATCAAATCATCAGCGCCAACCCACTGCTGGAGGCCTTTGGAAACGCCAAGACCGTGAGGAACGACAACTCCTCGCGCTTTGTGAGTTGGTGACTTGGACAAAATCTCTCCCTCTCATGGCAGGACAAGCGATGCCTGAGCAGGTCTCCATGTAAAGGAGATGTCAGAGGAAACCATCCAGATTCAAATGCTGCTGCTTCTCCTTAACAGGGCAAATTCATCAGAATCCACTTTGGGGCCACAGGCAAACTGGCTTCTGCTGATATTGAAACTTGTAAGAGACTCTCCTGGACTGGTCCCATCCCTTTCCAAATTCCCACCTCCATGTGCATTGCTGTGCTTAACTCTTTCTACCTTCCTGGGCAGATCTGCTGGAGAAGTCCAGAGTCACTTTCCAGCTCAAGGCGGAAAGAAGCTACCACATCTTTTATCAGATCATGTCCAACAAGAAGCCAGAGCTAATTGGTAGGAAGGAGCATTGTGGCTTTTTGAGGATGAACCCTGAGCAACAGTTCCCTCTGTCACTTACTTGGCAAAACTAAGCCTGTGCCTTGCCTCCTCCTGCTTTCAGACATGCTCCTCATCACCACCAACCCTTATGATTTCCACTATGTGAGTCAAGGGGAGGTCACTGTTCCCAGCATTGATGACCAGGAGGAGCTGATGGCAACAGATGTGAGTAACACAGCAAAAAGGTCTCTACTGTGCATATCTGAGGGTGACATCGCTGACCCACTAAGGACATGTGTTCGAATTCATGCTTTTTTACTGCAGAGTGCCATTGACATCCTGGGTTTTACTCCTGATGAGAAAACAGCCATCTACAAGCTGACAGGGGCTGTCATGCACTACGGGAACTTGAAGTTCAAGCAGAAACAACGAGAGGAGCAGGCAGAGCCTGATGGCACAGAAGGTATCAGCAAATTCAGTGACTGATTTGTTTAAAGCACTTGTCTGTCTCCAGAGATGATATGTTAAGCCTCCAAAGACAGATCTCTGTTGGGCTGAGTCTCCACATACAACACCGAGAAACCCATCTTTGTATATAGTCCATCTAAATGCAGAGATGTTTTCTCAGCCATGGGAAGTTCCATTATTCTGTCCAGTGATTGTCTTTCTCTCTCGAAACCCTTCAACCATTAAGAAACCATGATGTCCAGTTGTATTTTTGGTGAAATAACTCCCCTAAGCTTTGCTACCCAGAAATCCACGGGCCACCGCATGCTCACCTCATGCATTACTAGAGGCTTTTGGGATTCTTCTGGGAAATTCCAGGTTCAAGCTACTCCTATCTAAGCCATACCTTTTCTTGCTTTCACAGAAGGCCATCATTAGCTTGCACAATTCACATTCCTTCCCAAGCTTTCTGTATGGGATCAGATAAATGCTCTTCCATTCCTAAAATATGAACACCATCCATGAAATACTTTTCTCTTCCTTTCCCCATCTCTAGTGGCTGACAAGGCTGCCTACCTGACGGGCCTTAACTCAGCTGAATTTCTGAAGGCCTTGTGTTATCCCCGAGTCAAGGTTGGGAATGAGTATGTGACCAAAGGTCAAAATGTGACACAGGTAAAATCTGGAGGTTGACAATGCATGGCTTGAGGGAGTACATGAGCATTCTTCTGGGACCCCGGGAGGGAACTCTGGTCCTGTCTCCTCTGCTTTAGGTGAACAATTCAGTGGGTGCCCTGGCAAAGGCTATGTTTGAGAAGATGTTCCTGTGGATGGTTGTTCGCATCAACCAACAGCTGGACACAAAGCAGCCCAGGCAGTACTTCATTGGTGTGCTGGACATTGCTGGCTTCGAGATCTTTGATGTAAGGAACAAGGATTTGACACCCTAGTCAAGCGAGGAGCGAGGAGGGGTCATGAGGACTCAGACACACACTTCTTTTTGAGAGGATTCAAAAGTTTATCCTTCTCATCTGATGTTTTCCAGGAACCCCTCCCTCTTCTCTGTCACTGTAGCCCCCTCAAAAGGCTTTGCTGACAAAGACCAATTCTAACATTGCCTTTCTGGCAAACAGAGGCCCGTGAGCTCACAAAGGTCTCAGGCTTTGCAAACAGAGAGAGAGCTCAAGGACTAAGGCTCACACAGCTTTGGGCCAAAGGGCTGGATGCTCTTGGAAAACCAAGGAAAGGTTGTGCCGTGGGCAAGCTCCCAGCATACTTCCTGAGCACAGAAACCCCCAGATTATTGAAGCGAGGGCAGAGAAATCCTTGGGTGGGACACTGAGGAGGTTTCCACTGTCCAGGAGGTCAGAAACCTGCAACACATACCCAATGGAGCAGCTGAGGTTACCAAAGGATTTGCTGTTGAGTAGCACAGGGAAAAAGAATTGTAGCTTGATTTCAGAGGTAACGATAAAAAAATCCTTCAAGGCCAGGGAGTGGTACAGTAGAAGCCCTGCTAAGGAAACACAGGCTGGGACAGTAGGGTTGGGGATGGTGTTTCAGTTGTGGAACTTCAACCAGCCTTAGGAGAATGCCAGCAAAGGCCCGTGGTGTTTGGCACGCTTTGAGAACCCGTGCACCTTTCCTTGCTTTGGGCAGTTCAACAGCTTTGAGCAACTGTGCATCAACTTCACCAATGAGAAACTGCAACAGTTCTTCAACCACCACATGTTCGTGCTGGAGCAGGAGGAGTACAAGAAGGAGGGAATTGAGTGGGAGTTCATTGACTTTGGGATGGACCTGGCTGCCTGCATTGAGCTCATTGAGAAGGTACCTCTCCCATACACATGTATGATGAATGCTGGAATTATGTGATGTTTCTGAGGCAGGTTCAGCTCAGAGCCAGACATGCAGCATCAGTTAAGCAAAATATTTTGCACTGAAATTTAGTTTAGTCTGGGGAAGAGAAATGGGGAAATGCACCTCTGTGTCATCAGCCCTGCATTTTCTGGTCTTCAAGCTTGGAAAAGTAGCCTGGACTCCCACCAAGAGTGAGAGTGCTTTTAAAACAAAGCAAAGTCAGTCTCCTTTTCTTTTTCCTTTGAAGGCTCAAATCTGAAGTCCACAGACAAATCTGGGCAATAAGTATCATCTCACTGGACCTCCCACAACCACAGGGCCTCTTGTGGCTCTTTTCCCAATTATGTTTCTGTTTAGCACTGCTCCCTCTAATTCTGCACCAATTCCAATGTGCATTGGACAGACATCCTTACCAGTTCCATGAAGATTGGCTGCAGGGAGGCAAAGGGAAGGCAGAAATAGGCTCCCTGCCTGAGAACAACTCCTGACAAAGCCAGGCCCTCATCCAGGCTGGGATGCTAAAGCACCCCGGTAGTACCTCTGATGTTCGTAGCACAGGCTTCTTGTCACTGTCATAGAATCACAGAGTGGTCTGGGTTGGAAGGGAACCTAAAGAACATCTCGTTCCAACCCCCTGCCAGAGACAGGGACACTTTGCCCTAGACCAGGTTGGTCAGTGTCCCATCCAATGGGGCCTTGGACATTTCCATTATCATCTTTATTTGTCATTTCCTGTGATACCTTCCAGCCCATGGGCATCTTCTCCATCCTGGAAGAGGAGTGCATGTTCCCCAAGGCAACTGACACCTCTTTCAAGAACAAGCTCTATGACCAGCACCTGGGCAAGTCCAACAACTTCCAGAAGCCTAAGCCTGCCAAAGGCAAGGCTGAGGCCCACTTCTCCCTGGTGCACTACGCTGGCACAGTGGACTACAACATCACTGGGTGGCTGGAGAAGAACAAGGACCCCCTGAACGAAACTGTCATTGGGCTGTACCAGAAATCATCTGTCAAGACCTTGGCCTTACTCTTTGCCAGCTATGGTGGAGCAGATGCAGGTCAGTTCAGTGAAAATTGTATTTTTAGTGTGGGACAAATTTTTCTCAGATTTAAAGCCACAAACACTAAAATTGTAAAGCTACTTTGTGTTCTGTATTTCCAAATTGCAATATCCACATTCTAATAATTTTTTTTTTTTTTACTTTGATACACAGACAGTGGTGGTGGTGGTGGCAAGAAAGGAGGCAAGAAGAAGGGTTCTTCTTTCCAGACTGTCTCAGCTCTTTTCAGGGTAAGTTTATTATTCATTAATTCTTTGCAGATGGAAAGCATCTGAATTTGAAAGGTCTGTTTGCATTTTGGACATAACCCTTGTCATCCTTTAAAATCCTTTCTTTTCCATTCTTGTAAATTACAGACTTTTCCTTTGCAATGCCACATCCATCTTTGAAAATTCTAGGAAAATATCGAAACGGCTAAGTTCATCTACTTAGATGGAAGTGAAAAACATATCAGCCAAATACCTTAAAATCCTCTCCACAGAATTCAGATATATTTCCTTGACCTGCTTTGTTGTATCTATGCAGTTTTTCAGTATTGACTCATTGTAAAATTTGAAAGTAATAGAACAAACATGAAAAGCAAAGATGAAATTACCCCAAGATTATAAGGCAATGATTTGATTTCAATGTGGAAAGAGAGTGAAGGTTAAATTACACTAAATAATTGACTTGCGAGGTCAGTTTTGAGTTATGTCTTAAAGGTTTGAGACTGAATTACTACTAAAAGAGTCACTCTGCATGGGCTGCAGAAATATTGCATCCATTTGGAAAGAACTTACTTAGCTGTCAAATCATGCTTAACCGAGAGTACGTGTGATTTACTTTAAATGCCCAAATATATACCACAAGAATTACCAACTCAAAGGAAAACTGTGAAATAGCAGCCCTGTGTTTGGATGAGGAGGTCAAGGAAAAGTAATACTAACCATTATTCTATAAAAGAATTTCAAAACCAAAAATTTGTTTCTATTTCCAGTTTTCCCTTTGGGACTTCTGGGAGTTGTTTTAGAGAAGACAAGTCTGCAACCTGAAACTCCCAGTTTGATGCATCCTCTGTTAAGATTCCAGTGCTCACATTTAATAATATAAACTTTGTTTGATAATCTCACAGGAGAATTTAAACAAGCTGATGGCCAACCTGAGGAGCACCCACCCTCACTTTGTACGGTGCATCATCCCAAATGAAACAAAAACACCTGGTAAGGACATCCAAGAGGAGGAAAACTTGAGCAGCAGAAGCTCCTTTCCTGAGTGTCAGAGAGCGGGGTAGTCACTAATGCCGGTCTTTGTCAGGTGCCATGGAGCACGAGCTGGTGCTGCACCAGCTGCGCTGTAACGGCGTGTTGGAAGGGATCAGGATCTGCAGGAAAGGGTTCCCCAGCAGAGTCCTCTATGCTGACTTCAAACAGAGGTAAGAACACTGCACCTTTCTGCTCATTCAGACCAAGCTGAAGAGCCGGAGTATTGTGATATACTTTAAACTTCATACTTTAAATTGGTAGTGAACAGTAATATAGAAATGTTTCGCCATCAGTTCATGATGGCAGGGCATTGCTGAGATCAGGATTCTCTTGTACTTAGAATTAGTATTATATATCAAAAACAATCCCCATATCCTGAATTCAACTGTCTCCAGGCATAAGATTTGTTCAATGGGACAGTCTTAGAAGGCTGGGGGTTCAATCACAGTAGTGGTTTTGACAATTTCTTCATGCTTTCCTCTGCAGATACAGAGTACTCAATGCCAGTGCTATCCCAGAGGGTCAGTTCATGGACAACAAGAAGGCTTCTGAGAAGCTCCTTGGGTCCATTGATGTGGACCACACCCAGTACAAATTTGGTCACACCAAGGTAAAAACAAGACCTGTGTTAAAAGTTTGTCAAAAGCAGTGAGGGTGGGCTGCTCTGCCAGGGGGATGGGGCACAGCACAATGACATACCAGAGCTGGCAGGGGGAGACCTCAACCAGGAAGTGCCCAGCACCACTGTATTCGATCAAGGCAAATGAGGATGACCTGGGAGTGGTAGTCAGATTCAACCAGGAGTCCAGGTCATCAGGCAGGTTTGTTACAATAAGGAAGGTCTGAGGTGAAGCCATAAAGCCTTGGTTTTCATGATTTGGCAGGGTCAGGTATAGGTAGGCTAACAAGGCAAGGCCCTATTCTTTAATTCATGGAACTATACACAGCAATGACATATGTTTAACATCAAGCCACGAAGTAAGTGAGCAGGTCATGGTAGAGCTCACTGGGGTCCATGATCAGGCGGGGGGGTGGCTGAGGCTGTGGCTGAACTGGAAACAGTACTCATGACACATAGCTCAGACAGGGACTGAATGCTCAAGTCTGAGACTAAGGGAAGCTCTAAGCCCTTGGACAGAGGGCATGGGAGAAGGCCCAAGGTGATGCTGGTCATGGCCATTAAGGTCTGTTAGGATACTGAAAGATGCTGTGTGTTTAGCCTGTACTACTTCACAATGACATGCTGCACCATTTCCTCTCTCAAGGTGTTCTTCAAAGCTGGGCTGCTGGGACTTCTGGAGGAGATGAGAGATGACAAGTTGGCAGANGAGTTTGAGAAAACCAAGGAAGAGCTTGCAAAGTCTGAGGCAAAGCGGAAGGAACTGGAGGAGAAAATGGTAGCACTGGTGCAGGAGAAAAATGACCTGCAGCTCCAAGTGCAGGCTGTGAGTATCACTGTTTGTTTCTCCCTGGAAAAAGAATGATAAACTGTCAGAAGGCATCTTATCCTACACAGTAACTTGCAGGAACTGATGGGTAGTAGAAAACAGTCTAAATCACACCTTCTAAGGCACTGTAATGCTGAGGAAACAGGCACTGGCATGGGCAGGGTGAGACCTATGGCAGCCCCACACGACACTCACCATTCCTGCTGTCTGAAGAAAGAGCCATGAAACAGCAGCCAACATGTGCTGCACATCTGAGAGCTCTGAACTGGAAGGGAAACATCTCAGCTTTCAAAGAAGTGCTTCTGTCTAATGCAGTAAAGGCAAACCAGGGAAGCACACACTTTTCCCATCTACAGCTACACTAGAAGGCCTTGATTACTTTCAGAAACACAGATACTTCCCATTCAAACTCAATTAGGAAAAGGCAGTTTCTTAACACCAAATGAAGTGATGAACTAGTTAAGGAAATGCTTGATGTGGTCTTTAAAGAAGCCACAGAGGTAGATGAGGGCAAGAACTTTATTGGTCTTGCAGCAATTTTAATGCCTGTAGGAAAGTGATAAGTACCTTTCTCAACTAATTTATTGTCAGAAATGTAAAAGCCATTACATCCCAAATATTTTAAGACTTTTGTTGAGACAATTAAAAAGAAAAAGCTGCTAGATGCATTTTCCATCAGAAAAAAACCAAAACACTAAGCCCTTGCTCCTGACAAAATTAGTGATGGAAGTAACCACTGTTTGGTTGTGCTTTTGTGTTTGTGCTATGAAGCATTGTCATGGGCACTCAACCAGCGAGGCATATTTAGGAGACACAGAAATTACAGAATAAATATTGATTCCAAATGATGAGGTTTACAGTAAACACCAGTCAAGATCTTCCAGTTGCTGGACTTAAAAGTCAGGTTCAGCTCCCATTTTAACACAAGCCTACTCAGTGATACAAAAGACAGAGCACAGAAAGTTCAAAATACTACAACCCACAAAATTCTGTCTCCCCACCAGGAAGCAGATAGCCTGGCTGATGCTGAGGAAAGGTGTGACCAGCTCATCAAAAACAAAATCCAGCTGGAAGCCAAAATTAAGGAACTGACTGAAAGGGCTGAGGATGAGGAGGAAATCAATGCTGAGCTGACAGCCAAGAAGAGAAAACTGGAGGATGAATGTTCAGAGCTGAAGAAAGATATTGATGACCTTGAGCTAACACTGGCCAAGGTGGAGAAGGAAAAGCACGCCACTGAAAACAAGGTACACGCACGGGGAGTCA